GCTAACATTAATAGCTACTGAGAGGTAACGAGCCTGTAAGAATACGAAAGGCATATTCAGGGTTAGCTTGTCGCCCGATTGAGTAACAGTTTATCTTTATACTTATCGAAGAGATCAAGGAGTTTGAGCTTCATCCTCTTGCTCGACCCGTATGCGTGCAAACATATATGTCGGGAAGGGGTCCCGGAAAGAGCCTCAAGTGTTGCCAATGCTTCAGCCGCGGTCGGTCGTTCGCTGGGTATTGGCTGTGTCATACTCTCCACTAGGGGAAGAAGAACCTCGACACCGATATACCTCTGTTGGACCGATGATTTTGATAACAGTCAGGTCAAGAAAGAAGAGAGAAGCCAACCTCGGTGAACTCTTTGCGAAACACGTTTCCGAGTTGATAGATATCCAGTTTATAAGGATCGTACGGCTTGTCTGGTGTCGCCCACTCGGGAACTGATCGATCCAGTCCGACCCGGCCGTACGCAAGAGGCTCCTCGTCGTTTACGATGACGGATAGCTCAAAGTCGATGTAATAATAGTTTATAGGATGGACCGAAGAGCGGCTGCGGGCTTTATAGCTTGTCTTCACATCGACTGACATCCAAGGATCGTTCAAGTGGAATCCCTTTGGTATAAGACGAGATGAGTCCATGAGGATGTTGAGATAACAAGCATCTCTAGTGAAGCAAATATCAGCACCCTTTAGGATCAGTCAGATGGGAAAGACGAGCCTGTGTGCGACGTGGTGCTCGTGGATGAAAGCGAGGCCCTGAAACGACGTTATTAGAGTTAAGCAGAGCTACGATACTAATATACGGCACCGAGAGGAGCTGTTGACATGCATCCAGGATTTGGTGAAGTGTCTCGAAAGGTGGGTCGAAGAACCAGCGAAGAAAGGGCATGACGATTATGACTCTCTTCTCGGGGTCGTGCTCGAGGTGAATCGTTTCCAAGATAGGCACAGTACGGTTATTCGGAAGAGACCTCACGCTAGGTGCATTGGATATTCGAAGAATCGGCAGTCGTCCGATTCGATTACTTTAAGGACGACTTTCGCCTGTGTCTTGAGGGAAAAGGCATCATTCACAGCGCCTCTGTCCTTAAGATAAGGTGAGTGGTATCCAAATTTGAGCTATTTTGGACGTACATGAATACACTGCCAGCCCAGTCTGGATGATATCTTGGCCGCAATTTATAGCCTCTTTCACATAGAAAGTGGTACGTGTCTCTCCAAAATATCTCATAAGCAGTCAGCTCCTCGGTGACACCGTATTCGTTTGTGGGCATGGTCTCGATAGGAGCTATCAGTCGCAAACGATGAGCCTTTTCCACGGTCCACCTCGACTGAGACCGCCAGGCGACTCCCTTGAGGTTTGCCGACGGAATTTCCGATTCTGATCAAATTCTGTTTCAGAACCAGGGATGAGAGGGGGAGAGATTAAAATTTCACACCTCAATTGCTGCCTGAGCTAAACGCTAGAGCCAAGACGGCTGATCGGATCCTTTTGTGAGGGGGGGCAGAGGGGGGCAATTGCATACATAATAAGCTTTTACGACATCTGCGAATCAGTTGACGCGTCACTCCGGGCAGGTGTAAGAGGTTCAGCATCAAAAAGAATTCCTTGGAGAGCCGACAGGGCATGTAGGGGATCGAAGAACATACAAACGTTGGACTGAACCAGGATCGTTGACCGATAATAATCATTCTTGGAAGTTATTCGGAGGCGAATCTGAATTTCAAAATCAAACATGTCGTTCATTGCCGAAAAAGGGCATTGCCTACCTTGCACCAGTACCACGATGAGCGACTATGTCCCCTCCATTCAGGACCTTCGTGTGAAGCTCTGCTATATTTGCAGAGAAGAGGAACTTTTTGACAGTACGAACTTCTTACTTCTTGGTCATTGCATTATCTAAACTATATTAGCAGAACCGGAAATTCCGCCACGGATCTGGATACACCCATGCAAATGCGCGCTGGTTGCTCATGAAGCGTGTCTGCTGAAATGGATACAGACGGCACAGGCGACGTCGGCTGAGGCTGGGGAGAGAGCCATGACATGCCCTCAGTGCAGGACACCGTACGAGATCGAGAGTCGAAATCCAAGACTCTTAAGGATCCTTTCGTGGTGCAGTCGACAACTGCCGACACTGGGGAGGGTATGTCTCTGGACAGGTTTCGCTGGATTTTTAGTCTCTATGCAGGCTGGTGAATACATATACCATCTTTCTCTGTATATCTGTACTGAAACCAGCAGGGATATATGTTTTACTTACTGGATACGGTGCTCATGCAATTCAGCAATTCTTTGGACAAGAGTAAGTGGATGACCTTTGAAATCGTTCGTGTCTGACCGTTCGCAGGATGTACGACTTTGTACTCACCGATGACCCAGCCAACTGGCCAATAATGGCGTACATCCAGCTTCCTCTCATTCCCGTCAGCCTTGTCGTCTCCCGATACGCCTATGTTTCCCCAATCATGCCCACTATTATCGCATGCTTCTCGCTCATGCCTCGAGGCATCTTTGCTCTGACCCACCATAGCAATTACGCGAACAATATACGCATTGAGTCGTCCTTGTGGCCGCCATCTCCGTACGCATTCGCTTGTGTCCTTCTCCCCATTACCAACGCTATATATCGTGCTTGCTTTGAGCGGCTCTCCTACAAAATCCTTGGTACGACAGACCCGACAGAGTACGAGGATAACCTCCGGTTTGTGTTCAACGCTGATGACGAGCAGCGGGATCGGGAAGGCGAACAACTACCGGCACCGGCACCAGCCGAGGGACAGCCACCAGAGCCTAATCCTCCTCCTGCCGTCGCTCCTGCTCTCCCGGCAAATGGTGACGTCGTCGGTCAGCAACTGGCTGATATCACCATCGAGATCAAGTCTCCCAGCCGCATCGGTCGTAGAATCGGGGGCGCCCTCCTTCTACCGACGATTGCGAACAGAATGGGCTCTTTGCTCTTGATGCTATCGAAACATTCGTTGTACATGCGCAGGTTCCTCGGCGTGCGCCCGCCATGGCAGAGTCAAGTTCCCTTCCCTGTGGCGTGGCTCAAGACCAATGCTCAAGGCAAGCCCGTCGTCCCCTGGGGTCTGGTTCTGCGTGCGTTCTGGGGCGGCGTCAGTCCTTGGGCAGAGCTCGATCCCGTCTGGTGGCGTAATTCGGTCGGATTTGGGATCTTCATCGTGGTAAGTACTTGTTCTTGATGTGATCGGTGATTAGGCACTGACCGTAATGCAGGCGAAAGATTGTATGAAGCTTCTCTATCGCTGGCTGGTGAAGAGAGAAAAGGAGACCCGAAGAGTAAAGGATCGACCCTTCTCGGAGGTCGATGTATCAAATCTGGATCTTATCAAGGCCGGGGATGGGCAGGCATAGTTCTTTTGGTCTTGGATGTCAATGATGTTAACCCTGTTTTGTAGTACTAGCTTTTCATAATGTTATTGCCCTCCTCTCTACTCCGCCTAATCAACGTAGGATCAGTGCTTTTATGACGTTTCCTTACTGGATACGTAGGAGTCGCAGCCACCTCCGGGTTCCCACAGAGGGTAAGTACTAGGCTTGGACGTATCCCTATTATGTCTCTTTTGCTAAGTACGTTGGCTGGAGCGTTTTTTTCATGATTGTTGCTCATGATGGGCTCCGTTATCATTCTTACTCGCACCGAATATCCTTTCGGACAGAAGGGACTTATTGGCCTCCTTTGGCTCATCTGGTGGTCCCAAGGTGTTTCAGAAGAAGGAAAAGGAATGAGTAGATGGTAAACTGTCGAAGATGGCCATGCAGATGAAATCTCGGGCTGAGCGGTGGATATGAAACATTGATTTTTTGTAACGTCAGTTCATTATATAACAGGCATGCAGAGAACTCAACGGGTTGCTCGACAGTCATGGTGGTAGAGTGGACCACATCTAGAAAAGGTCCCCAATCAGAAGTCAGTTGAATCAATAATGTCTTGATCTTTTGACATCCGAGAGAAGAAAAACGTTTCTCGGCAAACACGAAAGCACTCGTAGTTCCTAGCATATAAGTCAAATTCATAGATGCCCATAAAACAGGCATAAAATCGCGTTACATTCTTGCATTATACATGGTATGCAGACCGAAACGCCCGCCCAACTTAATGGACGACATTAAGCACATCTTGGCTTTGTATGAATTTCCATACAATTCGTAGACTTTTGAGACCAAGCTGCATTAGAGCGATCGCTCCAATCGTCCGGTGTGCGGTAACGTCCTGCAGGATAGGCGCATCGAAGTAAATACCAGGCGAAATTAACTGTATCCCACGACTTGTCGTCTCGAATAGCCATGAATGAAATCTGTTCCGCGAAGACCATAATTTTGCATCCGGTGAGTTCCAGCTTTTCAGGAGACAGTCTCCGTCATGAAGTTGATCAGCGTGCTCCAGCCGTCTGCCATATGCAATTGGGTTCGACATTGCGGACTCAGGAATTCCAGTGACATCTAGAAGTGCTCCGAGTACGAGTGTCGAGTCCCTGGTATAGAAGTACTCGTACAGGGCTTTTCCCTCGTTCAATATCATTGAACGAAAACTACGATCTACGGGAGCAGCAGAGGATAGAGAAGCGCAGCTGCAGGTCCAACGGTGTACAAATTTGTGAAGAGGGTAGATGTACTTTTTTCCACCAACGTTGACAATAAATTTCGAGTCCGGAGGAAATAATCCTATCACATATTCGTCCTGGTCATCCCGGTCCTGCCTGGACGTGAACAGGTTAGCAAGCGTAACGTCGGAGTCAATAGAGAGCATCTACATCGCCCGCCAGATCCTGTGATACGGGTTAGGGTTGAATAATAATGAAAATATAGGGTACAAACCCAACAAACCTCCTGGTAGCTCCTCCAGGAATATGCGAGTAGGTGGATTCTGAGATGGAAATCATGGTCGTTCAAAGTAAAGATAACTGAGACTAGATTCTCCGATCACTGTTCCGACAGAATTTTATCCCGAAGACAGGCCGATGACCTTACGCCTCTTTGGCTCAGTCGGTTAGAGCGCAAGTCTCATATATTAAGTTGCCAAACGACTTTTGTAATGTGATCTTGAGGTCGAAAGTTCGAATCTTTCAAGTGGCAGTGGCACACTTGGCACGAAGATTGGTGCCACCCGACGACCGGACCGTCGGACGGCGGAGTTCGGTTTCCTGCGGCAGGTTTTTTTATCTTGCGACCATCATGTTCGACGTTCGTCGTTCTTTCAAGTACTCATTGCTGGGCCAGGTTTCTTTTTGATGGAAAGGGGTATTCTGAAAACCTCAGGACTTTCCTTTCCCTTTGCGTGCCGCAAAAATGGGGCGTGATAATGAAAAACTTGATCTATTTCAAGTTAACGCTCCTTTTGCCAGAAAGCTGCTTTTATGCCAATGGAAAACATTTTCCTTTCTTCCGACCGTAGGAAACGCCTTTCCATTCCCTTTTTCAGGCACTTTTCCTTACCTTAAGAGAGTACGTAAATGATCCCGACTTTCAGCTTGTTTTCTGAACTCTTACTCGTTTTACGATTAGCGATCAAATGAAATGTCTCAACATTTTGAATTTCCGATCGGAGAACGTATCGGCTCCAGAGTGACTAGTGCCCAGTGACTGAAGCCGAGGCATTTTCCAACTTGCTCTCTGAAGTAAATGTGCAAAATACCATCACAAACGCTTCAGTCTCGTCACCTCTGCAGTTTTTGCGGTCATCAGAATTCCAAGGTACTCTTCCCTCGTTCGCCCATGAGCCTGTGTCGTTCATGGCGTGGACCTCTCAATGCCGAGTGGCTCCGCGTATGTATGGCTCAATTTTGGCTCAATTACTCTCCGAGTCATTCAGATTCTTCCTTATGTCTTCAGGACGTAGGTTCCTCGGCACTCGCTTGCTCACCCAGAAATATTCATTAGTTAAGCGCGGCCGGTAGCTCTCATCCGGGCATGTCTCCCTCGTGGTCTATGATTCTTCCTTTTTCTTCGGCGCAAATTCTTAGAGCCTTAGACTGAGAAACCGCCTTTTGTCGATATTTTTCTTTTGCCCTTCCCAGTTGCTATGACGTCTTCCTGTTTTCTTCCCTATTTCCGACCTCGTCTTCCAGTTTCATCGTGGTTCCTTGAGACGCGATCGTCCGCTTTCATGGCACGTGGATAACGTGCGCAGGAGAGCTGAAAATTAAACCAATGCGCTACTATTACCTGGCCGGCTCGATCGATCATTTTCTGTTCGTTAAAAGCGGCGGCTTACTTGAGGCATCGGTACCTTCATCCTTCCTTCCATTGTCTCCAACATGAGTATCTCTCTTCTGCGCGCGGTGACCGTTGCCGCCTTTGGATTCTCTCTTTTAGGAGCCGTTCTCGCTATTTCGCCGGTCTTCAATTATGGTAAAGACGAAGTACGAGGTGTCAACCTTGGCGGATGGCTCGTTCTCGAAGTGCGCTTTTCAAATTTTCCCTCCCAAGGCGTTTTAGTAACGGCGATGTCTCTAGCCTTGGATCACTCCATCTCTATTCGAAAATACAGGTGAGTTGCACTCTGTTCGTGTTGCATTAACTCGCTTTGAACCTTTACTTTAGGTATATCGGCCATCGTTGACGAATGGACATTTTGCGAATATCAGGACACCGACACCGCGAGGAAAGTTTTGACGGAACACTGGAATACCTGGATTACTGAACCCGATTTTGCTGACATTGCTGCTGCGGGGTACGTGCTATCGACCATTTGTCTTCTCGCTGAGGTTCATTCGACCTGTACTAGTTTGAATCATGTTCGCATACCTATCGGCTATTGGGCGTTTAACGCGACGGAAGACGAGCCGTACATACAAGGGCAAGTCGACTACTTGCGAAAGGCGCTCGGCTGGGCTGCAGCGCACGGCCTTCAAGTCATTGTGGATCTTCATGGTACGTCTCGGGTGGTTTCATGAAGTCGTGTTAGTCTCATGTTCTGTCGTAGGAGTTCCTGGGAGTCAGAATGGGTTTGTTACCTTCATCCGCGCTGCTCGTTTCTCGCTTACCTGCCACTAGATTCGATAATTCTGGTCGGAGGATGTCGTACCCGTAAGCTTGCTTCATTCATCTTTGGAACGCCTTCATTGAACCAGAATGTCGACCAGTGGATGGCATTCGGATCACTCAAATATCGTTCGGAGCAATGACATTCTCTACGAGATGGCTGGCCTCTTCGGAGGAAGCGCTGCCATCATTGAACCATTGAACGAGTTGAGTCCTATGTATCAATCGCGCCGATACCATGAATTGATTGGATTAAGACCAGCTGGGTTTTATGGCGATGATGTACTGCAGGCCGTAAAACAGGTGAGCATCGTCGCTTCTTAACTGATATACCATGAATTCTCAATTTAATACCAGTACTGGGAAGATAGTTATGGTGCTATTCGGTAAGGTGATGCGGCGCTTTGTCGATAATACCCAACCTCACCATGGTTTCTTCGATCCGATAGATCGATACCTGGGACAAACGCCGTTGTTTTAATCCACGACGCGTTTCAAGACCTCAGCTATTGGAAAGACTTCATGCGACGCGAAGAGAATTATGATGGTGTAGCTATGGACACGCATATTTACCAGATGTTTTCCGACGAGGTTTGCTCGAGTTTCCCCGCACAGTAGAGCTTTATACTCATAAAGACGTATCTAGGAGGTCGCACGATCCGACGACGAGCATATCGCCGCAGCGTGCCAGGAGGGACCTTCGTTGTCTTCCTTCCATCTCTGGACAATCGTCGGCGAGTGGACGGCTGCTCCCACTGATTGTGCAAAGTACTTGAACGGAAAGTCCTTCGATCCAGTCTTTTGTTTGTCCAGCCAAGCTTATTTATGTTACAGGCCGTGGGGTTGGCGCACGCTATGATGGAACGTATCCTAATAGTACTCGGGTGGGTGACTGCGGGTGCAAAACAGGATCAGCGTCGTCCTTTAGCCAAGAGTACAAGGACTTTTTAAGGAAGTACTGGGAGGCCCAGGTACGTGATAAAGTGCGGGACTTGACTGTGAGAGCATGGCTGACATGACTGTAGGTTATAACGTACAAGAATTGGATACATTGGACCTGGTTAGTTGATTTGGTTTGTAATGTTTAGCAATCTATTGATATTGCTATACAGGAAAGCTGAATCTGCGGACGATTGGAGCTATCAAGCCGGTCTTACGGGAGGTTGGATTCCTCGCAACGCTACAGATCTTTTATACCCTTCCATCTGCGGATAAATTATGCTCTTTTGAAGTCTTCTCGTCGTTATATTAGATTTTATCATTACACATAGACCAAAATTACCCACGCGGACAGTTATATTCATTTCATGATAACCAACGGACTATTTATCTCCTGTAGCGTCAATGACCGACTCTGAAGTTGTAATTCTGACTTCGAAAATGAGAGACCACAGAATCACACAGTGGACTGTAAGGAGGCGTCATGGTGTACTAGCAGGGACACGAGACGTGGTCAGGTTCAATTCCTGAAGATGACTTCTACAGTGTCCTTCAGCAACAATTTTGTCCTCAAACAGAAAGACGTTCGAACCGCGTGTTCAGTCTAAGCGCAGCGTAAATCGCGAACTTTACACAACTGCGGAGTCACAGTCTCGTGTTATAGCAACTCATTCGCAAACCAAAAACAACAAAGCTGATACAGAACTCGTTTATCGCCTTCCAGCAGCGGCCTTCTGCTTGGCAGCGAGCTCTTGCGCTTTCGCTGTAGGGTTAGAAAGTAAGCAACATACAAGAAAAAGAATATGGTCCACCAAGTACCTTCAGCCTCAGCCTTCCTCTTGGCCTGCGCAGCTTCGCGATCCGCTTTAATCTTTGCGAGACGAGACAAGTCAGCCTTTGCTTGATCAGTCTTTCCCTGTAGATGCAGCTGCAAAGAGAAATGGGTTCATGAACGATTATTTGAAGATAGGGGAATCGCACCTTCCAATACCGGTCCTGGGCATCCTTCTTCTCTTTGGCTTCCCTTTCACGACGACTGAGCTCCCTCGGCGCACCAAGATCGGATATGTTGAGTTTCTTGGTAACGTGGTTGGGGTTGATGAGGTCCTCATCTTCTTCATCCTCCCCTTCGGCTTTCTGTTTCTGTTTCTCGGCAGCTTGCTTCTTCTTGAGTTCTTTGCGCTCGGTGCGGCTTAGTTCTGGCTTGTCTGGGTCCTCCTCTCCATCCTCCTCTTCTTCCTCTTCCTCATCCTCCTCTTCCTCTTCCTCCTCTTCTGAGGATTCCTCCTCCGCGTCCCTACGAGCGCTAAGGCGATCGATCGTTCAGATATTGGAAAAGTGTGGCGAAGGATGGGAAGACGTACCGTGCGGCAGATACAGCGGTACCATTCTCATCTAGAATCATGTCCTTGCTGTGGATTATCAGCGACGTGAATACACCAGGATAGATGGACGGGCACACCTAAAGTTCCTGCCACCACCACGCTTTTGCTTGAATTTTCCTGAGGATGAAGAAAATGATATCAGGGATTGCAGAAAAACCATGAATTAATTCTATACCTGTTCCACGAACCATGGTCGTCAATGTAAGATGAGGATAAGATGAGGGTCGATTGGAGAGTGATTGCGGGACTTCAAACTGTCGGACTTTGATTCGTTCTTCGCCTCGTTCTGGCCTGAATCCGACCAAGAAATGAGGGAAAACTCCAAGTCCAAAATGAGATAAATCTTTGAGGGAATTGTTTTTCTTCACAAAGCAGACGCATTTTAGACGTGAATTTGTACCCTTTCGGACGATTTCCTTCTCGTGGGAATACATACCCCAATCCGTCCTAAGGACCGGTGCTGACCGGCGTCATCGAACTCTGCCTGCAACCATGTCCTTCACGATTCCAGCACGGCTCGCGCGACCCTCTATTCGCTCGCAGAGCCCTGTAGAGGCCAGGCAGCGTGTTATCCAGCTCTACCGTGACTGGTGCCGTGGCGTACGTCCCTTTGCCATCCGTTTTTACCCTAGCAATGACCTCCACCTAGGCCCCGGAAATCATCTCCCTCTACGCCCTCAACGTCTCGCCTGCCTACATACGATATTGCATCCGCCAACGTTTTGAGCGCCATCGGCACGTCACTGATCCCCGTGCCATCGAGGTACT